GAATATGGCTCTCTATTACTTCCTATTTTCTGTTTCCTTAAGTAAGATTTGGCTCTATGCCATCCATCTTTGTCACTGTCCTGTCAATTCAATCTGACTCTTTAACTCAATGTTTCTCTCTGTTTCAATTACATTCACTACATCCTGTACGCAGTACATTCTCTAAGTCTTCTTTCTTCATTTTTTCTACCAATAATGTCAAATGTCTCTGATTACAACTTTCAGTTTCTATGTTAGTTACCTTGTCGTTCCTATTTAACTTAAAACTTCCTTTTTGTTCATATACACTGTCCATGGTGTTCTTAGAATTCATTTATAGATCCCCATTGCTATCGCTTCAAGTCTATTCTGCACTTTTGAGGAAATACTCCCAAGTTCACACCCATAGTTTAGATACAACATAGCATTTCAGTAAAATAATGTTTCTAACAAAGATGTTCCTTTCTTGAATGTTCCTTTCTGGAAGGTAACTTTATCTATTCATATCTGTCTTTCGATTTCGTTCACATTTTCTATCATCTGTCAGCACACTACCAAGTTACTTATATTACTGTATATATTTTGTTATAACACCCCCAATACGTAAATAACACTTTAGATGGTCTCTTTTGCTCACAACCATGCATTCTGCTTTCTCACATTTAACGGCTATATCACACTGAAACACTAGTTCTTGTTCGATCAACGAAGTTAAACAAAGTCGAGCCTGGCCAGTCCGTAGATGGGTGACCACTAGGTGAGCGAAGCTTGGATGTGCAGGTTGTGTAATTAGTAAAGGCTCAGAATGAGAAATCAAATGGATGAGTTCGAACTCCAGTCGCATTTTTTTATATTCACATTCGTGCAAATATACTTGGGAAAGCTATTAACTCACCTCTTCTATCCCTAGCTATGAGTTACATAGCAGCACTTGTAATAGAAAATGATTATTATCTCCAAAAAAATATTTTTCGATCTCAAAACTATTTTGCTGGCTTTAAATAATCTGCAAAAAGTTGATAAACCGTAAAAAACAAATCAATCAATCTTATCGTTAATAGTCCTTTTTTTTCTTGCTTTGCATTACTAATTTATCTAAGAGTTATCTTTATTCCGAATCTGGTACCAATACATTCACGTATCTTACACTATCCAATTAAATGATCAAAAAATCTATAGTGCTAAGATGAGACAAGTATCTTGTGAACAAGTGATATCTTCAACATATTTTGTTTTGTAAACAAATTAATTAGATTTATATTTATTCGACTTAAGAAAATATTCAGCACACATTGGTGCCGAATAATTAACCCAAAATATTTCATTTATGTGTGTTAGATTATCCTTCGAGAATAAATAACAGTAAATCTGGTATCAGGATTAAACAGAATTCTAAAAAACATGTTATAAAAAAATCTAAGAAAAATGAAACTGGTTTTATCAAATATAAGTCATCAAATTTAATAGAAATTAAAGAATTAAACGATTTAATTTTTCTCCTCGATGTCAGTTGCTGATATTCCGCCATAGATTATGTTAAACAATAACAATTATGAGATTATTATACGGTAAATTACATCTATCCTAAAGAAACTTTTCTTTCCAAAATATATCACGTCACTATGGTATAATTGCCAAATAAAGCGGCTGCAAATTCTATATACACTTAATGTTTTTTTTAACTTCCTTAAAACATGAACATATATAAGAATATATTGTTCGTATAAGTATATGTATCAGAACACAATGAGAAAGCGTAATATCTGAGAACTCATTTTCAAGTATCCACATCTGCTAGTGTGGTGAGCTAATCACTTTTACAGATTCCTTCTCAGACACATTTGTGATTCTTCAGCCCCCCCTCCCCCGAGACTAACTGTGGTTTAGACTGCAACTATGGTGAACGGATCATTAATTTTTAATCAATTCACCCCAAACAATGCGATAATGGCACTAAGACGCAAAGGGCTGCTAGGAGGGAAAGAGAATGAAAAGACTTTAGAACAAACCAGAAAACCAATCCTAAACAAGAAACAAAGAATAAACCTCTACTCCTTTTGAACCTCTACTCCTTTTATCACTATATTTATAATTTCTGGTAGAGAGAGCATAATCTAGCGTGATCAGGAGTTGAACAAAGCCAGTAAAATGTTACTGCGTCTCTCTCTCTCTCTCTCTCTCTCTCTCTTCTGTCTTTCCTTCTCTTTCTCTCTCCTCGTATATATATATATATATATATATATATATATATATATATATATATATATATATATATATATATATAAGAGAGAGAAGGAGACAGAGAAAGGGAGAGAGACGCAGTAACGTATATATATATATATATATAGTGGACTCTCCCCCGTTGTTTCGACGTATGAAGATCTGACAGCTTAGTTGATTCAGTTATGAAATTTTGTGCGATAATCTTAAGTGGCATTTAGGACCCGCTTGTGATTTACAAAGGAGGCCACATATGGAGCAAGAGTGAGGATTGTGAGATGAGATCACTGTTAGATTTCCTGACCTTTTTGATCTTGCTCTCGGTTCTTGATGAAGACAAGCAGATTGAAAACTGCTGAGTCCACGAAAACACATTGATCTCCATTCTACCCGCTCCAAGGCTAAGCGCTCAAGGGTGTTAAGTGGTATTTTGACAGCTGACAAGTTGCTTTTCAGCTTGTCTTTGTATCTTAGCCATGCCTGTAACCTTGATCTAACTTTCTGTACATTAGGATCTTGGGTATCCTGTCATCAGACATTCTTAAGACATGACCAGTCCACCGTAACTGAGAAAAGAGAAATGAGAAAAGTTTCGATTCCTCCAATATTACACTTGTTAAACAGGTCTACGTTAGATGTCCTATCTTGAAGGTTAACTCCACAGATTGCACGCAAACAGCTTTTATAGAAAACATCCAGCTGGCGTATATGGTACCTGTATGAATTCCATGACTCTGAGCCGTACAAAAGGATGGCAAGTACAACAGCTCTGTAAACCCGAATTTTCGTATCTAGAATATAAGACGTTTAGGTTGATAGAATGAAGAATTGAAGAAGCAGATCATCCCATGAGTAATGTCCGAAATTAGGATCAGAATATTATAAATAATTGCTATTTTATTTTAATTCATTCATTACATTTACGTCATTATCACTTAATCCAACAAATCGCTGATTTTATAATAACGATTTCGTAAAAGATTTAAGTTAGTCTTTTAAAATAGCAAAATGGTTCTGTAGACGTCGAATGGTAATCAGATGAAGCAAGATCTACAGAATAAGAAGAATGTTTAATGTTGACCTTGCTAAAGTTAATTTTTCTGAAATGATCTTTGCTGTAACAGGATTGAACACCAGCACTTTGTTATTGTCTCACCGGAATCTCTTTTCTTATAATAAATGTTAAAATGATGTTGGCAACGATGGCAATAGATGTAACAGCTACATTCATTGGTAGCTACTCAAAGTCCTAGAATACAGGCAGCCTAAATTAAGTGGTGTGATGAAATTTCCCGAATATTTAATAAAAGGGGTGGTTGAACTAAAGATGAACTGAATTGAGTCCCAAAAGAATAATCATTACGATCTGTCTATTTGAAACTCAAAGGTAATTAAAAATTAAGAATAAGAGAAAATCGCTGTCGCAATCCATCTCTAATAATGCAGTAATAAACCCTCACTACACCCTTTCAGGTTTCAACGGAAAGGTGTCTAGAAGTGCTGGTTAAGGAACAATTGTAAGGAATGGCCAGACACAGATTCCATGCAAGGAATACTCTTCCCTGGTTTCAATTCAGAGTTTTCCTTCAGCAAGTCTGTCACTCGAGTTACAAAACCAAGTCTGCCCTGCTATTTAACTCGTCACCAGACAGGGGAAGAGATAGAGTCATGTCTTTCTCTGCTGCTATGATGCAAAGTGAATGCAAGAGACTCGGTTGGAATTTGAACTTGGTTCGACAATTCCATTTTCATTGTTTATATCTGTTACGCTACCCCGCACATTAGTAAAGGGAAATAATAAGAACCTAAGACAAAAAAGAACGCTTAAAGAAGAGAAACAATAACAACAATAAATTAAACGGTAAACAATATAAGATGAAAACTAATAATATAAAATACTAAAATATTATAATATATAAGATGAAAAGCAAAACGAAAGAAAATGGGAGAAAAATGCAATGCACAACGCGTAAAGAAAGAAAGAAAGAAAGATAGATAGAAAGAAAGAAAGCAATAAAGAAACAAAGAAACAAACAAACAAACAAACAAACAAAGAAAGAGAGTTTTATTTATGGCATGTACTGTGACGGATCATGACTGCATGACATCAATTTAGACATATATTTTCATTTTTAATGTTTTATGCCTGGCGGCGCTGAAAATCTTTCTCGCGCCTTCGATGCTAGCGTCATATGTTCCGGTTTCCCGAACATCAGCTGCAAATCAGATACTTAATCGGCTTATTTTACTTAAGAAAACTCGATTGAAACTTTGTAATAATAATATTAAAGATAAGAAAAATCATAAGAGAAACTTCATATATACAATATAATTTTAAAAATGGCAATTGTTTACTTTGTGTAATGCAATCTTGTTCATGACATTAGAAATAATGACATGTTTACTTCATGGTACACGTATTATTTTTGTTTTTAGACTCTAAATATTTGTATTATACAAAAGAATCTTTCCTCTGTTATGATACTGAAGAAAATACTTTAATGTTTTTTTAAATAAGGTACTCTCTCATTTATGTTATTAAATCTTCAAATGATCCCCAAACTGATACAATGATAAATCAATAAGTTCATAGCCTAATTTTGATATAAACCTTTTTCTGTATGATATTCGATACATCTGATTAACAATAACCACTTTTTCTCGCAATAAAAGATTCAAGTGTTACTGAAGCTGTATAGTTATATGAACTTAAGAGAAATTAAAAAATTGATTATTTTAGGAATATTGATTGATTAACAATTTCGCGACGTTTTTCCATTATACTATCCATACATCAAATCTTACAACACCTTATTTTTTCAAACGGTCACCCATCTAGGTATTGACCAGGCTCGATGTTCCTTAACTTCGGTGATCGTACGGAAACTGGGGTTTCGACGTAATATGGTTGTAAGCCATTTTGAGAATATGTAGGATAGATAATTATTAACCCTAAAGTTGAACAGGTGAAGATTGTAATGCTCATAAAAGCATCTTAGCCAGAATATAGTCCAGGAAGTATTGGGTGCTTGGGTAGAAGCTTTTCCAGCTTAACAACCATATTACGAATATAGTATGCAGAGAATTTGAGAGATTTAACCTTGCAGACGCAGCAAGGCGGATTTTTGCTGTAAAAGAGCTTGTCTGAACATTTGCCATGGATGTAGCGGTAGAGTAGCAATAAGCTTGGAATGTTGCTTTTACGAGAAATGTACTGCAGCCGTAGAGTGGATAATAATTCATCTCCTACAAAGCCATGTAAATGATTTTAAACTCCGTCAACGATGGAATGATTTAAGTGCATTGACAAAGAAGAGGCTTATATTGGAAGAGGCTTGGGTTACTTACTGCTATAGACTGACAATATGTGTAGTTGCGATGAGAAGCAATTAAAAATGAAGGATGAAAGGGATGTATGATAAAAGCTAATTTTATGATATACGTCGGTCAAGACAAACCACTGATGTGCACCTGGAGACTGTTTTAAAATGTTACATGGTATTCCTTGTCTAATGAAATGGGGTGCTGATTAAATGGTAACACGAGGTATGAATCTTCATTACTTAGCATTTTATATTTTGTCAATTACTTTCGACCAGTCGGTGGTGCGAGCCACACACTGACCTTACATTACCCGTCTACGAAGTGTGAAAGTGTATACACCTCTTCTCTGGAATAGTTATTTAAATATCCATCATTCAAAAGTTTATCTCAGGTGTGCACCTATTAGGTGCATATACCAGGCGCAAAATTGCTCGCAGTCTTTCACTTCTTAGGTCATCTCTGATAATCGCGAGTCAGGCTGATGTAATCTCAGATCAACTTATATTGTGCATAATATACAGAGTTCGTTTTGCCCAACATCAACATGGCTGATGCTAACATCTAGAAGAGCAACTCATTGCACTTGGTTGGTACATGTTTTCTAATGAATGAAGTGGAAAGATTATGTTGAAGCAATTGCTAGCTCTGGTGCTAAGAAGACTGATTCACTGTGTCGTGACTGATTCACTGTGTCGTTTCCACGTCAGAAAAAATCTTGCACATTTATAAATCTACCATTCGTCCATGTATTTAATATTGCTGCCATATCTGGTCTGGTTTTTCTACTATGTATTTCGGTATTCTCAACAAACTCCAAAGAAGACTCTGTAATGTTATAAGTCCTGACCTGGCATCTTGACATAGCTTCATCTTTTCTATAGATACTTTCATGGCAGTTGTTCGAATGAGTTCTCATTTTTGGTATCTCGTCAAGATGAATTTAAGCGTACTACTAGATTGGCTATTAGGTTTCATAGTTTTATTGTTGAAACAGCGAGATGTAACCGTAAGTAAGTATAAGAAAAAAAAAACTTTTAGAAAAGTTTCTTTTCTTATACTTCCCACTGGTGGCACTCTCTTCCGGTTTCTTCCTTCTCTGACACCTACAACCTTCAAAAGTTTAAATGCAACATCAAACTTCCGGAAGCCTCTTCTGTTATTGTCATTTCCTTTCTCCGCACTAAAATATCCTATTCCACTCCCAGGAATCGCTTGTGACTTAGTAGCACACTCGATTTGTTTGGCGTGAAATGATTCAAACAAAGCAATAAATAGTTGTTACGCAAAATACCTGATCAGTCAGTTTTCAGTCATTTCACAGCGGTGGAATTGTCTCCCAAGGCTGATATTATCAAGCAGTCAGTTCTTTGATAAATAAATCATGGCGATATTCGAACTCGGATCTCATAGTCGGGATATTAACGTGCTTAATCCACGCCAACTATAATAATTATAACAATAATGATAACTGTTCATAGCGATGATGATTGTATAAAAATGAGTTTAAATATGAAAAATGAAAAATTGTCATTTAAAAACCTAAATCCGCGACTTAATGAAAGTCTCGAAGGAATGAAATTAGTTACGAACAAGTAAAAAATATATTAGTTGACAAGGCGTTGATATTAATGCGCGCCAGTTTACTTCTTAAAGATTTAGACATGATAATGTCCTGTCAGCCACGAAAGCGACTTGAAAGTTTTGATAATCACATAATCTTTTAATGGCATAGTCATATTTTTATGTTTATATCAGCGCTTTGAAATCAATTATTGGAAGATTTGACGCCATTCTTAATTCATTCACTAAAGAAACCGCTATAAAATCTAGCAATTAATAGAATAAAGGCAACAAACTTATTGATATTGTTATTAGTATTTACCAAAATATAAGTAGAAACAGTGGCAGTTTTTCTTTCTTATAACATGTAGCAGTAGCCTATCTGGTTACACTGAATTATACACTTCTCGCTCTTGATTCGCCTTCTTGGATCAGATTTTCAACTGACTTGAAGTGGAACAACTACATTGAATCAATAGTTGCATCTACTGAAAGTTGGTCCACGGTGACGAGACAGAAAATTTTTCTCGTCAAAATTCATCTTGCACATTTACAAAACTACCACTCGTCCGTGCATTGAATACTGTTACCATAACTGGTCTGCTGCTCCTGCTATTCATCTTGAGGTTTTTGACAAAAACCAAAGGATATGTACTATAATCGTTCCCGACTTGACATCTCGACTTCAGTCACTTTCTCACCGACGCAACGTGGCTTCCCACTGTCTTTTCTACAAATATTTTCATGGCAACTGGTCTGATGAGCTTTTTCCATGGTGCCCCGACTACATGAATTTAAGCGTGCTACTAGATTGGCATCTAGGTCCCACCTTTTTACTGTTGAAATAGCTAAATGCAACCGTTACTTCTACTCAAAAGGTTACTTTACTCACACTTTCCGACTGTGGAACTCCCTTCCGTTTAATTTCTTGCCTGATAACTACAATCTTCAAAAATTTAAATGCAACGTCAATCGCCATCTTATGTCTTCTTAAATCCTGTTCATCTTTGGTTCTTTTCTCAATCCTCCCTATACTCAGTCTTTTCCCTCACTTTCACTTCCTGTAAACCTCTGCGTACTAGTGGCACTCCAGATTTTCTTGGGATGAAATGATTAAAAAAAAACGTTCTTAGACATACTATTCTATTACCTAGTTGGACTTCATTCTACGTTTAGAATCGCTCATTTCTTCTTGGCATGGATTCGTCGATTTCTGGATGCACTGTTTTGAAATTTTGGCCCATTTTGATTATCATCGCGCCCCGCAATACTTTGTAATTGTTAGGTTACACATCCAAAATTCTTCTTTTTCTGTAAAAGGCCCGAAGGCCACTTGAGGCAGATGAATACAAAGTAAAAGGCAGTTTATGCATGGAAGATTGTAGTGATCGGAGAAACATCATCATGGGTGTCGGTTCCACAAAGCAGTGGTTTGCTCTTTCTACCATATCCCAAGGGTGTTTAATGAGATTTAGATATGGTAGCTCCAGAAATCACTTTAATGAACCAATCTGCCGTTGTGTTTTATTTCAACGCGATGCATTGTCTTGCTGAGAGTGGATGGATTGTCACGCTGTAGTCATAAAATAAAATACATATAAAATACATTATAGTTAGCCTATGGCATTTAAACGATCTTCTATTTGTATCAAGGGTCCCAATATGTCGCAAGAAAAAATTCCCTCTACTAGCAGTAGTCTGAATCATTGATACAAGTTAAGATGGATCCATACTTTCATGTTGTTTACGCCAAATTCTTTCTCTTCCATCCAAATGTCTTGAAATTCGTCAGACTAAGCAAGGTTTTCTAATCTTCTATTGCCCAATTCTTCCCATCTTTAGTGAAATGTAATCTCAATTTTTTCTACTTACCTGACAATAGTAAACCTACCTGGTCTTCTGCTGCTGTAGCACATCTTCTTTAAGGTTCGGCGTGTTATACCTTCACAGATTTTATTCTGTATACCTCCGTTGAAAACAGTGGTTATTGTTACATTTCTATCAGTCTGAACTTGTTTCATCATTCTCCGACCTCGTTCATCAAAAAGGGACTTATTACCACAGAAATTCAGCTCATTGGATTCTTTTCTTTTTCTGACTCTTTTATGAAAACTATACAGATCGTTGTACATGAAAAATTTATTTTGAAATACTTAAACCCGCCTTTCTGGTATTAATGACGATGTCGCGTTCAAAGTTACTTAAAATAATGCAGCAAATTAAATCAAATTCAGCAAGTGACAATGACCATGTTTACATGCCTATATCTTTTAAATTGCTCCCATGTCATTGCCTGATTAAAAAATTGTAGTTAAGTAACCATTTAGTACATATTGTAGATTTCCGCTTAAAATTTTAGAGATGAGAAGTTATCATTATTTATATTCAAACTAATGTCTACAGTTTTGTTGTTATTATTACAATGTTTTGACCATTATGACTTCCGGCTTTCATCACGTGTTTGTCGATCCGGGTAAACTTCAATTCAAAATTCCCTAAAGGTTACTCCGATCGAAAGATACCTGAAGAACGCTGGGGAGCAGAACGGCCGAAACTATATGTTCATAAAAAAAATATGAGAATATTACTCCGAATGTAAATGATGTAAATATATTGTTGATAAATTAAATACTAGTATATGTCATTGCAATGCTTAAAACGGTGTTATGTTTGTTCATTAAAATGGTTTCTTTGTAATATCTGTCATTAATATATTCCAGTTATTATTCCTCTGATGAAATCTCGGTCTATTTCTTATTGTTTCACGCTTCGCCATTTATCACACAAGATTTGGGATATTTTTTGTTTATTCTATTCTGTCTTGTTCGAATGGAATAATCGATCTGCATATCAGAATCTTGTAGTCATATAGTCTTTTAAACTGGAAGTAAAGATTCCAATTTGTACTTATACAGATCTTAAACTGAAAGTAAAGATTCCATTTTGTACTTATATAGATCTTAAACCGGAAATAAAAATTCTTTGTGCTTATACAGATTTGTTTATACAGATTTGTGCAATATTGTATC